TTTTGGAAGAAGTGCAGCCAGAGTGCTCCTTGGAGGCCAGGATGGCTAAGCTTCGTCTCTCATACTTTGGACATATTGCCCGGAGGGAACAGTTGCTGGAGAAGGATGTCATGCTGGGTAAGGTGGAGGGTCAGAGAAAAAGGGGACAACCCCTAACGAGATGGATTGGCCAGGTGGCATCACTGATGGCATCAAGTGTGGCAATGGTAATGAAGTTGACTAAGGTGCGCTTGACCCATGCCATGGTATTTTCAATAACCTCACATGCATGCGAAAGCTGGACAGTGAATAAAGAAGACCGTAGAATAATTGATGCTTTTTAGTTATGGTGTTGGAGGAGAAGATTGAAAGTACCATTGGCTTCCAAAAGAACCAACAGATCTGTGTTGGAAGAGGTGCAGCCAGAGTGCTCCTTGGAGGCCAGGATGACCAGGCTTCGTCTCATACTTCGGATATATTGTCAGGAGGTACCAGTCACTGGAGAAGGATATCATGTTTGGTAAGGTGGAGGGTCAGACAAAAAGAGGAAGACCTCCAGCAGATAGATTGGCAAAGTGGCAGCATCAAAGGGCTCAATCATGGCAACAATAGTGAGGTTGGCCCAGGATTGGGCAGTGTTTCATTCTGCTCTGCACAAGGTCTCTATGGGTCAGTACTGACTTGATGGCACATAGCAACAACAACAACTGATGGAAGCAGCCAACAAGAAACTAAATCAATTATTACATCAGGCAAATCTGCTGTACAAGATCTCTTTAAGTGTTGAAGAGCAATGATGTCAATTTGAGGACTAAGTTGTGCCTAATCCAAGTCATGGTATTTTCAATAACCTCATGCATGAGAAAGCTGGACAGTGAATAAGGAAGACCGTAGAATTGATGCATTTGAGTTATGGTGTTGGAGGACAATATTGAAAGTTCATTAACTGCCAAAAGAACAAATAGAATAGAAAGGGATGGACAACTTGGACATTGCCTACCCCAAACGGGGGGACTACAAAGGCAAGAAGTGACTGGCTTACAGAACCTAGATCTAGAGGGCGTGGAGGAAGATAGAATCTCCACTGAGTAGTATCCAATCTGCCTAGCTAGGCAGGGCTGATTAAAGGAAATGTGGATAGGTCTTTTGTGATACAAAAGTGAATAATTGTTATCAGGACTGATTGTGAGGGTTGTAAATGTAAAGGTAGATGTTTTGTAGCAAAGAGGGGAGTGATTAACTTTGCAGTCTAGGAGCAGAGATCCCTGGGACCATGAAGGGAGAAGAGCGGAGAGCGGGACCCTACCCAGAGAAGCAGTGATGCCTGAAATGGAGCTGGGGACTTTAGCAACAAAGAGGGAGAGGGGCTGTGTGCTGACGACTGGGGGGTGGGATGAGGTGGGGAGCCAGGCTTGTAGGATATACCCTTTGGTTGGTTGATTATGCATGGAGGGGATTGTAACCATGGCAATAAAATGATATGCGATAGAATGAATGTAAAACTAATGTTCTCCCATGTAAACTATCACATAATTCACAATAAAACATTTTTTTAAAAAAGAACAAATAGATCTGTGTTGGAAGAAGTGCAGCCAGAGTGTTCCTTGGAGGCCAGGATGGCCAGATTTCATCTCTCATACTTCTGACATATCATCAGGAGGGACCACACACTGGAGCAGGATATTATATTTGGTAAGGTGGAGGGTCAGAGAAAAAGAGGAAGACCCCCAGCAAGATGGATTGGCAGAGTGGCAGCATCAGTGGGCTCAAGCATGACAACGATTGTGAGGTTGGCCCAGGGCCGGGCAGTGTTTGGTTCTTTTGTACATACGGTCGTCATGAGTTTGAACTGACTCGATGGTACCTAACAACAACAACATTCCTGAGATCATAATCCCATTTGGGAATGGATTGTCTTCATTGTATTCATGAGGTAGGATTGGTAGAGAGTAAATCGTGAGTTGGTCTCTTTTGAGATATTGTTAAGTGCTATCAAGTTGATCCTGACTCATAGTGAATCCTGTACAGGGTTTCTGAGGAGCAGCTGGTGAGTTTGAACTGCCGACCTGTGATTCACAGTTCAGTGCTTATCCTACAGCTCGGCAAAGGAGGGGCGAGGGAAGACTGATGCCTAGTCACATGGAGATCTCTAGGGAACTGAAACAAACTGAAGAGATGAAGGCCTTTTCCCAAGCTGTCAGAGACAGAAAGCCTTCCCCTGGAGCCAATGCCCTGAATTTGCACTTCCGACGTCCTAAACTGGGAGAAAATTAAGTTCTGTTTGTTTAATCCATCCACTTGTGAGATTTCTGTTATAAGAGCACTAGATTTAACTAAGAGGTGTGTGGTGGCTCTGAAGGCTAAGCACTGGACTGCTAATTACAAGGTTGATAGTTCAAGCCCACAAGCTGTTCCTTGAGAGAAAGATGAGGCTTTCTTCTCCCCAAAAGATTTGCATGGTCTGAAACCCTATCCTGGATTGCTATGAGTGTAACCGACTCTAAGGCCTTTAACACAAGGTAGCTAAGACAGACCAATGGAGATGCCATATCCAGGAACTTTGCTCTCCCTCAGAATGAATGGAGACCAGAAAGCAGATACTTATGCCCCAGAAAGGCAGGATTTCATCAAACATTTCTCCCAGTTTCTCAAGGTGCTGAGATGGGGCTCCCAGAAACAAGAGATGCCATTGCCCGATTCAAGAAGGTCCTAAGAGTACAATGTTCTTGGAGGCAAGTACAACCGAGATTTGGCTATGGTGGCTGTGTTCTAGGAGCTGGTGGAGCTATGGAAGCAGAATGCCTATAGTCTGCAGTGGGCTCTGACCATGGGCTGCTGTGTGGAGCTGCTCCAAGCTTGTCTCTTGGTATTAGATGACATAATGGATGTGTCCCTTACCTGATGGGGCAGCCCTGCTGGTGCAGAAACCAGACAGGTTTGGATGCCATCAATGACTCCATACTGCTGGAAGCGTGCACCTATTGCTTACTGAATTTCTACTGCCAGGAGCAGCCTTATTTGAATCGGATCAAGGTCTTCTTTCAGAGTTCCTATCGGACTGAGATTGGACAGACCCTGGACCTCATCACTGCCCCTCAGACCAATGTGGGTCTTGGCAGATTCACTGAAAAGAGGTATAAATCTATTGTCAAGCATGAGACAGCTATCTACTCTTTTCCCCTTCATGTAACTACTGCAGTATATATGGTGAAGAAAGGAGCATGCCTTTGCCAAGAAGATCCTGCTGGAGATGGGCGAGTTTTTTCAGATTCAGGATGATGACCTTTACCTTTTTGGTGACCCCAATGTGATGGGCAAGATTGGCACTGACATCCAGGATAACAAATGCAGCTGGCTTGTGGTTCAGTGTCTGTAATGGAGTTTTCCAGAACAGTGCCAGATCTTGCAGGAGAATTATGGACAGAAGGAAGCCGAGATGGTGGTCCGAATGAAGGTGGTGTATGAGGAGATGGAACTGCTTGCTGTGTTCAAGCAGTATGAAGAAGGTAGTTTCAGCATTCTTGTAAGTCTCACTAAAGCAGTATGCTCTTCCCCTGCCCTTGGCCGTCTTCCTGGGAATAGCACACAAGATCTATAAGTGGAAAGAGTAACCTAGAGACTGAGAGGTGCAAGCAGGAGAGGAAGCTCTCAATAAATTATTGTGCAACCTTAAAAACAAAACAAAAAATCCCAAGACATTGGTGATAGTTACACAACATGAATGTAATCAATGTCAATGAATTGTATATTTAAGAATAGTTAAAACAATCAATTTTGGTTATATATATTTAAGGCAATCCACCCCTGACTTCTCACACACAGGGAAGATGTTTTGCAGTGCCATACATCTTTAAGTTCGCCAGGTCTTCTATTTGTTATTATGTACATAGATCTTGAGAACTACCTTCTTTATCAGCTCCGTTACATAATGATTTTTCGAAAAAATCTTTATAATGTAGTTGCTTGAAAAGTGAATTCAGAAGTATTGTTTGTTACGTTTGATACCGTTCGTGGATGAATTTTGGAAGTCCTGATTTCTTATTTTTCTGTCGTACTTTCTAACTAAAGATGAGAGGTAAAGTTTATGGAATAAAATTCCGTTTCTATTTGGCGGGCACTTAATTTATGTTCATGGAGTTGGAATATTTTACAAAAGGATAGGTAGGAATAATGGTGAAATATAACATGAAAAATGTCATTAATGTTATTGAATTGCAAATGTGGAAATTGTACTGGTGAATATTTTGATGTGTATATTTCTACCACTGTAAGAATTTTATTTTATTAAAAAATTAATGTCTTATTTTTTATTTTATTCAAAAATTTACTACTCAAAATTTACTTATGGTTGTAGTGTGCTGGGAGGAGCCCTCATAGCTTTGTAGGGTAAAGCACTGGTCTGTTAACTGTAAGGTCAGCAGTTCAAATCCAGCAGCTTCTCCGCAGGAGAATGATGAGGCTTTCTGATTGATCCCATAAAGATTTACAGCCTTGGAATCCCCATATAGGGTCACTATGAGTTGGAATCACTCAATGGCAGTAAGTTTGGTCTTATTATGTGCTGGTTGACTGTAAGTGCATTACGTAGACACTAAAGTGGAGAAATACTGGCATTGTTTGTGTCATCAGGAGATTTATAAACTAGTTTCCCACATGAAATAAACAAAATACTAATCCTTAGAAAGTGTTGAAACAATCTGATTGTGCAGATGAGGGGAGTGGTGCTTGGTCAGTAATAGAAGAACTCCTTCCTGGTTGGGAGTAATGCTTAGTAATTCTATCCCAGATATATAGCACATGGCAGGACAATAGCAGAGACTTTTAAATTCATAGCTTAATATTTAAGAGCAAAATCTACAGGGAGTTTTTTTCCTGAAACAAACATATTTTTAGATTGATCAATATTTGACTTACATCTTGATAAAGCCTTAGATTAATTGATGGTCTTTTTTCTTTCTTTCCCTCCGAGGCTCATCAAAGTATATGACATTTCTCTGGTGAATAACTGTGCAGATTGTGACATGTCAGCCCAAGAAATAAATAAACATGCAGTTCTCCCACCTATCATTTGTAGAAGTGACAAGGATTTTTTGGAAAGTATGCAAAGATACATCATAACAGAAACAAAAAGAGTGGGCTGTAATGAGGAAGGACCTGCTGATGAGTATTACATCATATACCGAAACGTTTTCGATAAGGTATCATAATGCTCTTAAAACAATGGAGTTATCATATGGGTTGTTGTTGTTGTTAGGTGCCACTGAGTCAGTACTGACTCATAGCGACCCTGTGCACAACAGAACGAAACACTGCCTGGTCCTGGGCCAGCCTCACAATTGTTGTATTTGTGATGAAGAAGTCATTGGTCTTCTGTCATGTGATGTCCAGCATCATTTCTGTCACCAAAGCTATATTTTTCAACTACTGATCCTTCCTCTTTGTTTCCAACCTTTGCAATCCCAAAACCAGCAATTTCTAATACATCTTGATCGCATGTTTGATCAATTTCAGATTGAAGAAGTTGGTAGAATTAACTAGCTTTAGTGGTTGGTGTGTGGATCTGAATAATAGTGATATTAACTGGTCTTCCTTGTATGCATATAGATATTATCCTATCACAGACAGACAGTCTTATACACTTCAAGATGGATGTTGAAATGTTCTATTTGACACTCAATGTAATGTCATTCCTTTTGAATGGGTCCTTCTTGGAATAACAGACCATGTGATTATCAGATCAAAATAGCCATTGCCAGTCCATTTCAGCTCACTAATGCCTAGGATAGCAATCTTTGTACTTTCCAGTTCATTTTTGAAAACTTCCAGTTTTCCTAGATTCATACTTCGTACATTTCATGTTCTGATTATTATTGGATGTTGCAGCTGTTTCTCCTCATTTTGAGTTGTACCCCATCAGGAAATGAAGGTAATGAAAACTTTATTCCATTTGCGTCATCATGGTCCACTCTATTTTGAAGAGTCATCTCTTCCCCAGTACTATCTTGAATGGCTTCCAACCTGAGAGGTCATCTTCTGGCACTATATCTAATGGTGTTCTGCAGCTATTCATAAGGTTTGTAGCTGCTTAACATTCAGAAGTAGTCTGTCTCTCTTTCTCCTAGTCTGTCTTAGTCTGGAATCGCAGCTGAAACCAGGCTACCAGGTTTCAAAATACCAGTGGCATAGCTTCCAGCATCACAGCAACACGAAGCCACCACAGTAGGACTGATAGAGAAGTAGTGGAGGTAGATAGGTACTGATAATCTGTAGAAAAGAAAATTATTATATCCTACTCAAATACAGCCTCGGAAACACTGTACAGGGTCGCTGTGAGTCGGAACCGACTCCACGGCCCAGAACAACAACAGCAACAACAACTCAAATGCACTATTCTGGTACTTGACACTGACCAGTCATCTTATTTATTTCGTGAAGAACCAGAAGTCTTCCTGGGTAACTTTTTCTAGGTGTTGTTTACCTAACTGAAAACCAATAAGGAATACCAGGAAGACTAAGGATATAGCATGGATTAAAATGCATAATTACAACTTTTAGGGGAAAATATAGAATGTTTGTTGTTATTTACCATCTAGTGGGTTCATAGTGACCTTATGTATAACAGAACAAAACACTGTCCAGTACTGTTTCATCCTCACAATTGTTGCTTGTATTTGAGCCCACTGTTGCAGACACTGTTTCTTGTTGAGGTCCTTCCTCTTTTTCTGTGACCCTCTACTTTATCAATCATGATGTCCTTTTCCAGGGACTGGTTCTGCCTGATTATAGTATGCCCAAAGTATGTGAGATGAAGTATCACTGTCTTTATGTTTAAGGAGCATTCAGGCTATGCTTCTTCTAAGGCAGATTTGTTTGTTCTTCTGTCAGTCCATGGCACTGTCAATTTTCTTTTCTAACACCAGAATTCAAATGCATTGACTCTTCTGAGGTCTTGCTTATTTATATTGTTCAACTGTCACATTCATATGAAGTGATTGAAAATACCATGGCTTGGATCAGGCACACCTTAGTCCTTTAAGTGACATTTTTGTTCTTTAACATTTTACAGAGATCTTTTGTAACAGATTTGCCCAGTGTAATATGTTATTTGGTTTCTTGACTGCTGCTTCCATGAGCATTGATTATGGATCCAAGTAAAATAAAATCCTTGGTAATTTAAATCCTTTCTCCTTTTGTCATGAGGTTGTTTATTGGTCCAGTTGTGAGGATTCTTGTTTTCTTTGTATTGAATGATAATCGATACTGAAAACTGTAGTCTTTGATTGTCATCAGCAAGTGCTTCAAGTCCTCTTTGATTTCAGCAAGCAAGGCTGTGTCATCTGCATATTGTAGATTATTAATGAACCTTCCTTCGATCCTGATGTTGTGTTCTTCAGATTAGTCTAGATTCTCAGATTATTTGCTCAACATACAGATTGCATAAAGGAAAGGATACGACCCTGACACACATCTTTCCTGATTTTAACCCAGGAATCCCTTGTTATATATCAACGACTACCTCTTCATCTATGTACAGGTTCCATCTAAACACAATGAAGTGTTCTGGAATTCCCATTCTTTGCAATGTTACCCATAATTTGTTATGATCCACATAGTTGAATGCTTTTTCATAGTCAATAAAACACAGGCAAACATCTTTCTAGTATTCCCTGCTTGCAGCCAAGAATCATCTGGCATCAGCAATGATATCCCTTTTCCTACATCCCCTTCTGAATCTGACCTGGATTTCTGGCAGTTCCCTGTTGGCATATTGTAACAACAGTTTTTAAATTATCTTGAGTAAAATTTTACTTCCATGTGATACTAATGATATTGTCTGATGGTTTTTGCATCCTGTTGGATCACCTTTCTTTGGATTGAGCAGAGACATATATAGATCTCTTCCAGATGATTGAGGAGGTAGCTGTCGTATAAAATCCTTGGCATAGATGAATGAGCACCAATTCCTTCAGTGCCGAACTTGAACTTCCTCCTTCAATTCTACTACTGGTTTTTGATCATATGCTATTTTTTGAAATGGTTGAACATTAACCAGTTTTTTATGGCACTGCAGCTCCGTATATTCCTTCCATCTACTTTTGATGTTACCTGTATCATTTAGTATTCAATGTTTTGCCCATAGAATCTTTCAGTATTTAAGTTGAGACTTGGCTTTTCCTTCAGTTCTTTCAGCTTGAGAAATGCTGAGCATGTTCTTCCCTTTTGGTTTTCTAACTACACGTCTCTGTGCATTTTGTAATAATACTTTACTTGTCTTCTTGAACTGCCCTTTGAAATATTCTGTTCAGCTCTTTTACTTCATCATTTCTTCCTTTCACTTTAGCTACTGTATATTCAAGAGCAAGTTTTAGTGTCTGTTCTAATATCCATTTTGGCCTTTTCTGTCTTTTGATTGACCTTTTGATTTCTTTATGTATGATGTCCTTGATGTCATCTTAACAACTTGTCTTCAGTGAGTCAAATCTATTTTTGAGATATTATATAAATTAGGTGATATATATTCAAGGTAATACTTTATGGACTTGTGATTCTCTTCAGCTTCAACTTGAACTTACATATGTGCAATTGAAGGCACCTTGCACCTGTCCTTATTCTGACTGGTGATATGAGGTTCTCCGTCATCTCTTTATACACCTGTAGTGGATTTAATTCATGTCTATTACATCTGGTGACGTCCACATGTGTAGTAGTCATTTATGTTTTTTGTTTTTTTTTTTAATTTACATTAAATAAGTTTCTGGTCTTACAAAATTCTATCATATGATCTTGGGCATCATTTCTATCATCAGACTATGGATTAATCACATCTTTTCCCTGCATACATTGCACCCTTCTGAGAGTCTATTGAGCTGTGCAGAATTTGCAAGCCAATTAATTGTTTATGTTTGTAACATTTGGTTTTCAAAAAATGCTTTAAGCGTGTTTTGATGACCCTATTTTGCATGGGTGATATATGTACAAGATTAACAAAAATAAGTCCGTATAGAAGAGTATACACTGGAAAATCAGGTTCTTCTCACCTTCAGTCCTAGTTTCTCTTCCCATCTCTGCAGGTACCCACTGTTTCTAGTTCCTTCTGTTGTCATTCCAGAAATCTTCTGTGATTAAGCACCATTAGAGACCATGAACATATAGTGATGAGGAGATTTTCTACACTTAATTTGACATCTAGAGAATAGAAATGCAATTTAGGAATTGAGGCTATTGATCAAGGAAGAAAAACAGGGAACTTAAGCGAATTGTGATTTTGAGGTCTAAAGGAAGTCAGAGACTAGATTTAGAATGAATGAAGGGTGATATGTAAGTATATTTAAGAGATCCAGAGTTGGGGAAATGATAACTGGTATTGATTTCATTGACATCATATGATGTATATGTTCATACCAAAAAGAGCAAAATTGTCTTATTTTGTTTGTCCACATATTTAAGCTCACAAGTAATATAATAATCTATAAAGAGCATGTGTTCAGGAAATACGGTCTTTTTTGCTCATTCATATATATGAGCTTGTCAAGTACAAGGTCAAACTTTTAAACTTGGAGTCTTCTAATTGCTAATCAAACTTTGCTTAAAACTGATCTGTAATGCTGTTTGCAAGGGTGTTGATCCATAGTCTTTTAGAAAAATATTTAATATCATAGGCAGAAAAATCGTGTTTCAGGTAATAGAGTATGTCACTGCGTACAAATCCATTCTTACTTCAATCAAAAAAGAATATGATGCCTTTATTGAGACAATAAAGAAAGGCCGAAGCACTGCATTTTATCTTCATGGAAAGCTAAAAGTTTTGGCAGCAGAGCCAACAGCATTGGTCTATCACAGGAAAAGAATAATCCAACTCGAAGCAAAGTAAGTATATTAGTAATTAGCTTCCCGAGTGATTTATTGCTGCTTGATTGTATCAGATAGTCAGCATAACTGTAACTGGTTTTTCTCAGTTTGTTTTCATTTCAAAGCCATGTTTTCTTTATTACCCTCGCTGATCAATTTGAAATTCCTATATTGTTATATAATTTTTTTACTGTGTTTTAAGTAAAAATAGTTACTTTTGTTTTGAAAGTTTTCTAATGCCCCTTACAATAATTGGAGGCACATTGGAGTATCCTAGGCTGAGGCAGGCAGAACATTGCTCCAGGTGACTTCCTGCCTGGAGGATGTGTGAACACAATGCCATGATTACCATCCGAATTTGAGCACTCGTTCCTGTGGTGGACCTAAGTAAGTAACTTATACAGCGTAGTACGCTCACTCTTGTCAGTAGTCTCATGCTTTCTTAGTGCTTTATTGGGTAAATGATGTGCAAATCATTATAGATAATTTCAAAACAACTTAGAAAGTTATGCAAAATGTGATCTCCATTCTTGGTACTATGGTTGCCTAGATACTGCAGTAGACCCTCATCTTGGGGAAAACGTTGCATGAGATAGTAAAACCATTTTTTTCTCAGGGCTTCAGAAAGCAGACAAGATAATATGAAATTGTTGTTGTTGTTAAGTGCCATCAAGTCAATTCGATTCATAGTGACCCTGTACAGGGTTTCCAAGGAGCAACTGGTGAGTTCGAACTGCCAACCCTGAGGTTCAAACCGACCTTTCAGTCCAGTGCATTACCCTACAGTGCTACCCCAGGACTGCCCATGACAAAATCAATGAGAAAAAAGATATCAGACCACTAAATTGATTTGGTCCAGAGGACATTTATCAACACTAGGGCCCATGAAGAAACCTGGTGTGGTGCTGTGGGTTAGTGTGCTGGACTGCAAAGTCATTTGAATCTCAAGGTTGTCGGTTCAAGCTCACCAGCCACTCCTCAAAAACCCTATACAGGGTTGCTATGGGTCGGAACCAGCTGGACGGCACTTAGCTGCAACAATAACAACAGTGCCTATGAGCTCCAGTTTTTGCTCTGGCTTGGGGAACAAAAGACAAGTTCCAGGATCTGTTAAGTGCTGTCAAATAGGTTCTGACTCATAGTGACCCTGAATAGGGTTTCCGAGGAGTGACTGGTGAGCTTGAACAGCTGACCTTGTGTTTCACTGTCCAGTGCTGATCCTATAGCACCACACCAGGTGGAGTGTACTGCAAAACTGCCATATAAACCTAGGACTAAGCACCACACCCTTTATGTAGGATGAACCACCACCCTTTAGGATTGCAGACAGTTGCCTTTGATCAGCAGAACAAGAAATAATGGCAACTAAGAAGTTTAATTGATAACAGCCCCTTTGTGGATTTTCAGTCATATTCGTATCTCCTAGAGCACCTTTAAAAACTGAAGGTTATAATTTAAAGTGCTCCAGAATACTGTTTTCTCTAGCTACATAGCAAAAGCAAATACAAATCCTTATGGAACTCCATACCCTACAGCCTAGGCCTCAAATTTTCCACAGAATTGTTAAAGGAAATGAATAATTCACAGTTAACAACAACAACAACTCAGCATACAAGAGAATGTGAATTATGAGTAACAACCAATGGAAACAACACATAGAAAAATTAAATGCAAAGATTTCAGATACTGGAATTATCGGATTATAAAATAAATATGTTAACAGTCTAAGGTGCACTGAAGGCATTGGGAAAGAACAAGGCTTTGGTTATTGATGAAATGCAAATTGAAATCTTTCAGCAAACTGAGGCAGCACTGGAGGCACTCGCTCATCTAAGCCAAGAAATGTGTAAGACAGGCTGATGGGAAGAGATCCATGTTTGTGCCCATTCCAAAGAGAGGTGACCCAGCGGAATGTGGAAATCATTGGACAATATCACTAATATCACAGGCAAGGAAATTTTTGCTAAAGATAATTCAAAAATGGCTACAACAGTACATTGATAGGGAATTGCCAGAGGTTCAAACCAGTTTCAGACAAGGATATAGAACGAGGGACATCTTTGCTGACATCAAATGGATCTTAGCTGAAGGCAGAGAATACTAGAAAGATGTTTACCTGTGCTTTTTTGAGTATGCAAAGGCTTTCAGCTGTGTGGATCATGAAAAGTTATGGACCACATTGCTGAGAATGAGTATTACGGAACACTTAATTGTGCTCATGAGGAACCTCTACATAGATCACCAAGCAATTGTTCCAACAGAACAAGGGGACACTGAATGTTTTAAAATCAGGAAAGGTGTGTGTCAGGGTTGTATTCTTTGACTGTATGTATTCAATCTGTATGCTGAGCAAATAATCTTGAGAAGCTGGATTATATGAAGAAGAATGTAGCATCAGGATTGGAGGAAGACTCATTAGCAACCTGCAATATGTAAATAATTCAGTCTTGCTTGCTGAAAGTGAAGAGGACATAATATACTTACTCATGAAGATCAAAGACCACCACCTTTGGTAGGGGTTTGCTCCTCAATTCAGAGTAAACAAAACTCCTCATGACTAGACCAATAAATAATATCATGGTAAATGGAGAAGTTATCAAAGACTTCAGTTTGCTTGGATCAATCATCAACACTCATGGAAGCAGCAGTCAAGAAATCAAATGATATATTGCATTAGGCACAACGGCTGCATGAGACCTCTTAAAGTGTTGAAGAGTACAGATGTCAGTTTGAGGACTAAGGTGTGTCTGACCTCAAACCACGGTATTTTCAGTTGCTTCATGTGCATCTGAAAGTTGAACAATGAGTGAGGAAAACTGTAAAGGAATTGATGCATTTGACTTACAGTGTTTGTGGAGAATATTAAAAGTACCATGAACCGATAGAAGAACAAACAAATCTGTGTTGGAAGAAGTACAGCTAGAAAGCTCCTTTGAAGCTAGGATGGCCAGTCTTCGTCTCTAATACTTTGGACATATTACTTGGAGGGACCATTCCCTGAATAAGGACATCATGCTTGGTAAAGTAAGATGGTCAGCAAAAAAGAGGAAGACCCCTTCTCCCCCGCAATGAGATGCATTGACACAGTGGCAGCAGCAATGGGCTCAAGCGTAGCACTGATTGTGAGATTGGCATAGGACTGTTGTGCATAAAATTGCTATGAGCTGGTACCAATTCAATGGCACCTAAGGAGCTTTGGTAGTGTAGTGGTTAGGAATCAGGCTGCTAACCTCAAGATCGGCAGTTTGAAACTATCAGCTATTCCACGGGAGATAGATGAGACTTTCTGCTCCTGTAAAGATTTGTAGCCTCGGAAACCCTGTGTAGGGTCACTATGAGTCAGAACCGACTCCACAATACTTAACAAGAACAACAAACAACAACATGGAGTTTATTAGGGAAGTTGTTTTTGTTGATGTTAAGTGCTAGTGATTTGGTTTTGACTCATAGTGACCCTGTATAGGGTTTCCTCAGAGCGACTGGTGAGTTTGAACTGCCAACCTGTTATTAATAGTCCACTGCTTATCCTACAATGCCAGACCAGGACTCCACTAGAGAGCTTAACAGTTTGCAATTCAGGATCAGAAATGCTTAGTATACAGTTCTTCAATCAGGACATTGTCTTCTCATCTGTATTCAAAGACAGGCCTCTTTCTAGTCTTTATCTTCTCAGCCACATGGCTATTTGGCTTCAGACTTACCCTGACAAAGTTGCACAGCAATTTTAGCACTGCTGATAAATGCTGCAAAGGGACTGTACTCCTTCAGCAAACCTCTTACCCAAAGACACTGAGTTTTTTTGCTTTGTCGGCTGGGAAGCCCGTCACCGTGTCATGTGCTTGGTGGTGCTACCTCTGCTGTGCCCACTACTCTGCTACTTCTGGTATCCCAGATCTCTATCTCCTGGATCTTGGAGTCCAAAGAATGCACTCTGCTCCTGGCTCGTCTTCCTTGATGGTAGTGAGACCTCCAACTGCATGTAGTTAATGACAACAAATTTGAAAATCTATGTGGAATGTGCAAAATTGGGAAAACTACAGTTTACCAAAACTGACTAAAGAAAAAACTGAATCCAGAATAGTCTTAAAAGCTTTAAAGAAACCGAAATTTAAAAACTTTCCATAAATGAAATTCCAGGAATAGTTGGCTTCAGTATGAAAATTCCAAACATTTAAGGAAAATAATTCAAATTTTACCCCTAAATTTTCAGAGACTAGGAAAGGAAGAAATATACCACATTTATGTTGAATTTGTTGTTGTTGTTGTTGTTAAGTGCCGTCGAGTCGGTTTCGACCCATAGCGACCCTGTACAGGGTTTCCGAAGGGTGTAAATCTTTACGGGAGTAGAAAGCCTGATCTTTCTCCCGCAGAGCAGCTGGTAGTTTCGAACAGCTGACCTTAAGGTTCGCAGCCCGATTCGTTAGCATATCTTTAATACTGCCACCTGACAAGATCATTATGAGAATAGAAATTAAAGCCAATGTCACTATGAGCACAGGTATTAAAATCCTGAACAAAATGTTGTTGTTGTTATTGTTAAGTGCCATCAAGTTGGTTCAGACTCATAGGAACCCTGTATAGGGTTTCCAAGGGATGGCTGGTGAGTTTGAACCACTTACCTTGCGGTTCAAACCGACCTTGTGGTCAGTCCACACCAGGACAGCTGGCTGAAATATGAATTTCCTAGTAATAAAGCTAAGAAGAGATTACCTAATTGACAGAACTGAATAAATGGAGTTCATAAATCTGAAAATTCTATATTTTAAAAATAAAACTTGATGAACTGAATTGATTTTTTTTAAAAAAATGACATTTTTATTATGAATTGGGTCAAGTGTCACAGAACAAATTGGTTTTCTGTCTAACAGTTCATATGTATTTTGTTTTGAGTCACTGATTCCACTTCTCCTATGTTTCCCATTTCCATTCCTCCTTTCCCCCTAAACTCTCTAAACTTTGTTGTGGGTAAATGCTGCCCTTTTGATCTCAAATGGTTGATTGTTGTTGGTTATTAAGTGTCATTGAGTCATTCCACCTCAGAGTGGCCCTGTATAGGGTTACTGAGGAGTTGCTGGTGAGTTTGAGCCACTGACCTGGCCGTTCCAACGGACCTTGCGGTCCACACCAGAACAATTGGTTGATTATTAAGGTGTTTTTTTTGTTTGTTTGTTTAAATAAGCATGTGTTTATTTAGATAAAAGCCAAAAGATATTTTATTTCCACAGTTCCTCTTTCATTATTGGATATGGCGTTGTTGGATAAGCAGTGAACTGCAAACCAGAAGATCAGCGGTAGTTCAAATCCACCAGCTGCACCATGGGAGAAATACATATAGGGTTGCTATGGGTTGAAATTGGCTTGATGGCAGTGAGTTCTTGCTTTAATACTACAAGCTCTTACTCTGGGCCATCTGTAGTTAGCAAGGACTCCCTATAGTAGCCTGAAGCAGGCAGCTGGTAGCTACTGACAAGCTAGCTTTTTCTTTTTTAAGTGTTTATTGTGAATTATGTGATAGTTTACATGGGAAAACATTAGCTTTACATTCATCCTATCGTATATCATTTCATTGCCATGGTTACAATCTTCTCCCTGCATCATCAACCTAGCTTTTAATTTGTCGAAAACTTCATGATATTTAGATATGTAACTTATTTTAATCTGTTACACGGGCTCACAAATTGGTGATAAATTGGAAGAAAACTTTAAATAGTGCTTGGTGGTGGTGGTGGTGATGTGCTGTGGAGTCAGTTCCTACTCATAACAACCCTGTATATGGTTTCCGAGGCTGTAAATCTTTACAGGAGCTGAAAGCATCATCTTTCTACCACAGAGTGGCTGGTAGATTGAAACTGCTGACTTTGTGGTTAGCATCTCAGCTCGTAATGCACTACACTACCAGAGCTCCTTAACTTATGCTTTAAAGCAGCTTATTTATATTAAGAAAGAAAAAACAAAAAACAGTTTGTATCTATTTCTTGGTCTTTGAGGTTCCATTTCTGTGTGAGTCCAATTTTATCTCAAAGAGGTTCTGTCTTTCCTGTAGTTGTAGTAGGCTGAGTGATGGCTTTGAAAATGACAATAAAGCTACCAGGCTCCATTCCCTTGGACCTGTAAATGTTATTTAGAACCTAAAAAGGGTCCTTGTTCAGGTGACTAAACTAAGGATCTTGAGTATCCAGGTAGGTCCTAAATGTAATCACAAGTTTCCTTATAAGACAGAGCCCTAGGGAGATTTGACACAGAAAAGGAGACGGTGATGTGGCCGTGAAGGCAGAGGTTGCAGTAATGACCTGTAGAATGGTGGCCGCCACCAGAAGCTGGAAGAGGGAAGAAATGGACTGTGTTTCTAGAATCATTGGCCTAAGTACAGCCCTGCCAACACCTTGACTTTGATCCAGTGATGTGGACTTCGGACTTTTGGACTCTAGAAATATAGAAGAGTACATTTCTGCTTCTTTAAGCCACTGAGTTTGTGATACTTGCAACAGCAGCCGCAGGAATCTAACACAAATAGAATTTTATATTGCAAAGATAATCTTTGACTTAAGAGGAAAGACAGTATGCTGTGACCAAATTATTATGTTTAACATTTATACATTTCCAAGTGGGTTACAATGATAATATGAGATTTTATTGATTCTCTGAAAGAAAACTATTCTTCACTTATGAGATTCATTAATTTTCTCAGGGCATTGTTTTGTAAACTTCCACATAGTCCAAAAAGGTTCAAATTATAATTAGCCAAAATAATGACTTAACCTGTTTTTATGTTGCCTTATCATCCAAAAGTTTAATTAGTTGAATAAATTAAAGAAAACTTTTCTGTTTTACAGAATGAGGGCTATTGAAAATAATTCTTCAAAGATTCAAATGCAAATAGAGAAAATGAAACAGCTTAGAGCACAGTATGACATAAAAGAAGTAAAATATTGTACTTTCTCCAAAGATCCTTCAAAACCTATTCCAGGTACTGTATTTTCTTTAAAACATTTTAGAGATATTCCAATTATTACCTATTAGAGATGTTAACATATATATGCTGATATGTGTACTCTGGTAGCGTAGTGGTTACGAATCGGGCTGTGAACCTTAAGGTCAGCGGTTCGAAACTACCAGCTTCTCCACGGGAGAAAGATCAGGCTTTCTACTCCCGTAAAGATTTACATCCTCGGAAACCCTGTACAGGGTCGCTATGGGTCGAAACCGACTCGACGGCACTTAACAACAACAAAAAATGTGTACATTTACCAACTATATGGAGTCCTGGTGTGGCGCTGTAGGATATAACCAATCGACCATAAGGTAGGTGGATCAAACTCACCAGCCGCCCCTCAGCTCTATCCAGGGTCGCTATGAGTCAGAACCAACTCGGTGGCACTTAGCAATAACAACAACCACCAAATATCTGCTTTGCAAGCAATGCCCCATAGTACACTAGTTAGATACAAAGACATTGTTGTTTTTGTTGTTAAGTCTGCTCTGACTCATAGCAGTAATGTATAGGGTTTCCAAGGAGCAGCTGGAAACCTTGCCAACCTTGCCTTTCAGACTGACCTTGGAGTCTAGTGCATTAACCCACACTGCCACACTAGGACTCTACAAAGAAATTTGAAGACTTAAATAACTCTAAAAGATTAAAAGGGTTAGTTGCCATATATAAACTAGTGGTAGAAGAGTTTTTTAACGTGTGGTGCCTCCATCACCATCAGCAGCTCCTGGGAACCTGTTAGAAATAGTGTCAGGCTCCACTTCTAAACCTCCTGAATCTCAGGGAGGAAACTAGGGGGAGAGTGCAGCCATCAGTGTGGTTTTTGTTTTTGTTTTTTTGAATAACTTAATTGTCTACTGACTGTAAAGCTACCTATAATATATTGTTAAATTAAAAAAAATCAAATTAGAAAATTGTTTAACTGTAGTATGAGTCACTGTTATAAAAGGAATATATGTATGTATACAGTTCCATAATTAGAATCCTAATAGTGGTAGGATTATGAATGATTTTATTTTCTTTGTAACTTGATGTTTATTACTGTGTAATTTAACAATTATTTCTATTTTGAAAAATAAATCAAAGGGACATCATAATGACTCTTTTTTTCTGTCAAAGAATTTACTTTGAACAACTAAATTTGGCAAGTAATATTCATATGCACAGTATTAAAACTAACTTGGATTTCTAAATGCAAATGAAAATGTTAGACTATTCATTTTGAAATTACTCCTAAGAGTGGGCCTCTAATAGAATGATCATTTTGATACCTTTATTTCTGTATTACACTTACGATTTTGTTTTTCTGTACAAAATATTCATTAAATCCTTCTCTCTCCATTATTCTCATCCCAACTCAGGAGATGGAGGATAAAGTAAGATATGCACTGGACCGTAAGGTCTGTTTGAACCTCAAGGTTGGCAGTTCAAACTCACTAGCCGCTCCTCGGAAACGCTATAGGTTGCTATGAGTCACAACTGACTCGACAGTGCTTAACAACAACATCATTCTATATTTTAGCTCAAGGCTAATAAAGTTAAAAGGCAGTAGATTTGTGATGTAAGAAAATGACAGAGGCTGGTACATTTAAAGTACTGTCCTTACACAAAGCAAATTTGTGAAGAACTGTTTCCAGCAAAATACCAAAATACTACTAAAATTCTAAAAGTTTATCCATTTTAAACAAATACCTTTTATAGCCTTACTGATTATAAAACATAATTGAGGAGTTTAATGATCAACTTATTAGTTCTTCCTTTGAAAAGATATTTTTATAAAAATAGATATTTATAGATGATAATTGCCATAGAGAAAGAATATACTCCTGTATATCTTAAAAGGTAAGTATAATTGCACTTATTTCATATAATAATTTGCATTATTTTGGGATAATGGGAAACATTTTTGTATATAAATTCATTTTCCAACTAAGAGTAGTTAAATGAAAAGTTTCACTAAAAGTCTGTTAAAAAAGGGAGAAAAAAAAAGGATAGGACAAATGCTGTGTGAGGCTGTGTTCTCGTAACATTAATATGATGGCCTTGCCAGTTTTAATTCATTGACATAAAGACCTCAGCAACATACTAAGTCACACTATGACCTATAAATTGTGACAGGACAGTTCTAGGAGAACTAGTACAACATTATTCATTTTCAGTAAAAAGTCTAACAGAATAGTGATAATTATTGTGCCTTAGAACCTTAATCAAATCATTTACACATTTATCATTTGTATACATTAATACAAATAATTTATAATACAAATTGCAATGAAGAACATGTGCTAGTACAGCTAGGCTTTACATACTTGTGTTCTGTGGAAGCGTAAACACTTCCAGGATATCTTAGCCATCTTCATTCCAGGTCTAGTAGCATAAAAGCTGGCTTTCCTAAGTAAGATTTCCACAAATTAGAGAAGCGGGACATTGTAACACCATCAATAACTCTGTGATCGGCTAACCAGCTCACATGGATTATTTGGACTTTATATACATCCCCTTTCTGGTTAAATCGAGGAAGGGCCTTAATTGATCCAAGAGCTCCAATTGCTACTTCAGGTGGCATTATCACAGGTTTGGCATAGATACCACCAATAGATCCAATGTTGGAAAGAGTGAATGTCCCTCCAGTAATATCATCAGTTCTGAGCTGAACTGCAGAGCCCAATTCTTGGAGGTGGTTTAATTCAGTAGCAATCTCAAATATGGAGCACATCTGTACGTTTTTCACATTTGGGATGATCAACCCCTGTTCAGTATCCATTGCTAGTCCAATATTATGAGAAGCCTTATATGTTATGTTCTGGCAAGCTTCATCCACAGAAGCATTAAGGATAGGAAACTAGTAATCTCAAGGAAGCAGCCTTTAAAAAGAAGGGCATAAAGGAGAGTTGAATTCCATTAGCAAAAGCAACGGGTTTTAATTCTTCTCGTAACTTAACCAGTTCATCCCAATGCCTAAAGTGAGGAATCTTCAGGGCTACAGTCATGGACTTGACCATTGCTTTGTGAAAGCCTTTCAAGGGTTCTGTTCTGTCTTTGCCTGTGAATATTGGAGGTTTTGATACTGGCATAGGAACAGCCCTGTCTTTCGGTTTTGGTGGTGGCGGCGGCATAATTTCAACTTTGGGTGAAGGAGGTAATATAGCTCCTTTCTGCTTTTTCAGATAGTTGGGAATATCTGCCATCTTCTCCTGAGCCAACAACTTCACTCAACTTAATCTTTCAAAGCTTCCATTTCTATGTCAACTAATGGCTTCCCCACAAAGGCAATTTCGTCTAGATTATAGTGTTGTTGTTAGGTGCCATCAAGTAGGTACCAAATCATAGCAACCTTTTGCACAGTAGAATAAAACACTGCCATATCCTGGGCTAACCTCACTATTGTTGCCACACTTGAGCCCATTGATGCTACCACTTGGCCAATCCATCATGTTGGGGGTCTTCCTCTTTTTCTCTGACCCT